AGGCTGGTCTACTTAGGAGCGCCGCCGTTTCACGTGTCTGAGCATACGAGACCGTTTCAGCAAATGTTGGCTTTGGATTCGCATACGTCCCTCGCTTGGTATACATGTCCCGCATTCCGTTGATGAACCTCTGGATTTTTATTCTTTCGAGGTGCTCACCAGATGCATCTCCAATTGCCAAATGAGCCAACCCTTCAATCTCGGAGGCGAATTCCTGTAGAGTCTCGTTGGATTTCTGGCAGCGATTCTCCAGCTCCATCTGGTAAATCTGTCTCCTGTGCTCGCTACCATAACGTCTTTCCACTGCACCCATTAACGCATCGTAACTGTTCCTTTCAAAATCAGGAATAGTCTGCTAGATTTCCGCTGCAGGTCTATTTAATGCAACGAACAGTGCAGCGGATTTATCCTCCATGCTCCAGTTGTTTGCTGTAGCCGTCTTTTCGAACTGGAGCTTAAAGACTTGGAAAGGAATCGTGCCGTCAAAGGATGGAGTCTTTACCTTGGGAGCACTTGTCGAAGTAGCTGGACGATTCATCCGCAAATCTCGGAGGCGACCTTCCAACTCTTCTACCTTAGCCTCGACTTTATCCTGTCTATCCTTGATTTGTTCGTTATCTCAAGCCAAATTCTCCTGCAGTTGTGTAATCTTTGCCTCCTGCACTTCCAGCAACTGTGATACGTGTGTCTTCTATGCCTGTAACTGCGACGAAATATCTGACAACTGTGTTTGCATCTGAGATGACTTCTGTGACATGCGTGTATCCTGTGCTTGCATCTGTGACGACAGCTGTGATGACATCTGTGACATGGCAGCCAATAACGTGTTCATGTCCATAGCTGTTGATGAACTTGGAGACTTTTGCTGTTTCTCAACCTTCCCGGATGTCTGCTGCACATCCTTCGACGAACAAGCGGCCTCATCCTTCTGTTCATCTATTGTGGATGCATCGTCGAGTTTACCCTGGAAGTCGTATTTGTCCACGTCGATGCCTTCTGCTTCCATAGCCTCTCGCAGCCGTGATAGTAACTCCACTTTTCTTCCGGAGGTTGCTAAATTTCGCTTCTCCAACTCCTGTTTGAGTTCCCCGATCTTCAGGTCTTGAATTTTTGCCATTTTCAAAAGTTTATCCTTCGGGATTCATTTAACAATCCCTCTTCTGACACCAATTGTTACGATTACCATTTGGGGTGTTCACAGTTCGTTCCAAATAGTGTCTCAAAATGTAGACGTCTACATTTTAAGACGTTTTCTAACCGTAAAATCTGTGGTGTTGTTGTTTCCCATACAAAATTGGAAAACGACGCCGTCTACATTTTGTCACACTCAAAGGTATGTTTTTTACGCGTCTACATTTTGCAACCTCGCAGCAGGGTTGCATTATGGCAATACTAATCACATTTTTTTTATTTATTGGGCACGTTTTCTGTATTTGCATTTAATTTGAGCGCAATTTCTGATGAAAAGAAACAAATCAAGGAAAAGAAATAACAAATATTAGGAATTGGTAATTAAGTTAAATAATTACAATTTTTCAGAAACAAAATCGAAAGGCGACATATAAAAAAGCACGCAAAGAAGAAATGTCTGGCAACACCAGCAAAGTTTTGAGACGATTTTGCGACGACTGCTAGAAAGGGGTGCTCACAGTTTGATGCTAAAGATGTCTCAAAATGTAGACGTCTACATTTTCAGACACAATTTGGAACGAACTGTGAACACCACAATTGAAACCTTGAGGGATTTCCCAAATATCTACCGGCTCGTATCGCTGGATTGTTAAATAAATGCTAACGATGGCCAAATTGTAGCACAATTAACTTTATTGTACAACAAACAATTTACAATACTTGCTAATACAGTAAAAGCACTTTACAATATTTGTTAAAGCAATACAACGCTTTACTAAACTTGTTAACACAATTAAACTTATAGCTTGGTTATTCGCAACTCACTTCTCTGCTCACTTTACTTGTAGCTTGCTGACTTGTAACTCGTAACTAACTCACTTCGCTGTGGCGGCGTCCTTATATACCTGCGCTCTCACTTATGGCAACGTTCTGAAGTTTATCGCTCATTCTCTTTCTCTCGCTGTTCGCAGTGTTCATCCGACTTGACGTTTCTCTTTGTGGAACATTCTACGTAATTCCTCGAACATTCTGCCAATTTCGTTGTTTGCTTTGTGTTGCCGCAGTATTCGCCACAATATTACAACAAACACATCATTTTGACATATTTGTCTTGACAATATTGTCCGGTGTAAACCCTAACTAAGTTAGCACGGTGCAGCGAGCAATAGTTTTGTTTCTTAACAGATAATTATCACAAAGTATCACTAATTTCAGCTGGAAAGCGTTTCTTAACCCAAAAACTAGCAGAAACTAGCAGCTCTCTCCCGTTCTTACGCTCTCCTTTTTTTGGCTCTCCTGCTAATTTCTGCCAGTAAAATTTTTACTAGCAGAAACTAGCAGCTGTCAATATGGATAAACAAAAATTCGCGCCAAATATTTTCAATAGTGAAATACACCGATCAGCTGATTACTTGCTAGTTTTGCGTTTCTTTACTTTGTTATGGGTTACTGTTCGCCGCACAAAATATAAATACTTTATTCTTCGGCACATAGCGCACCCGATAGCATGTCAGAAATTTCACGATCTCATATTTGTCTAGAGCGTACGGCAACGCTAAAACTGCATGGAAGGTCTGCCATTTGGACGATAGCTGTGTTCCTTGCGTACGGGTGTCGCTGATTGTCACTAGTTCCGGCAGGTCTGTTTGCCTACTTTTTCGGTTAATAAACGCTTTTCAGCGGAGGCTGGTGATAGTTTGTGACAGCTGTCTGTAAATGCCCGCCTTCACAGGATGGAACTTTTAACTTGACACATCTGTTGGAATATGGAGCACAATACACAATGTTCTGGCGGCAACATTATCGATATTCTGATATAGAGCCAGAGAGAGATATAGAATAAATTGAGTTTTGCTGGTCAAAACTCAAGGAAAAATTTTGACAGTTGGAAAACAAAAACACACAAATGCTCGTGCCGAAGCTCTATTTTTATAACTTGCAAGTGACGTACGTTTTGTCGTTTGTATCAGATTCCATTTTGATTTTCATTCTTTATTACCGCCCACAATATTCTGCCTTATCCTGAGTTTAGCCCAAAAAAATTGTTTTTCCGCCCATAGTAAAGATATGGGCGCGTATCATAGTCCAGCAACTAAGCCGAAACTAACAAAGTTGCAACTTAAATTTAAGTACCAAATTTACCTCTATTCATAGTCGCATTTCAGACTTCTACTAAGTAGTTTCGACTTAGTTTGCGATATAGCAAAACGAGTGTGAAAATGTATCGATTTTTCTTTACGATATTTCGGAAAAATTACATTTTTATTAAATAATATCAAGTTTGATCATCCGTTTATGTAATTTTTATTTTCATTGCATGATTTTGCAAAAGAATAAGGTATCATTTTCTTGTTAATTGTTGGAAATAGCCAGAACAACCGCAGTAATGTGAAGTCGATGTTTATCGAAAGCATGCTGTGGAACATACAAATAGTAGATAACTAAATGTTATGCACAAATTTACTTTAAAAGAACTAGCGTGAAACTGACTTAGTATTTAAAAATTTATCTAAATTATTCCAATTATAAAGTTGTGATGTAGCTTTATTCGAATTGTAATACGNTGAAATAGCCAGAACAACCGCAGTGATGTGAAGTCGATGTTTATCGAAAGCATGCTGTGGAACATACAAATAGTAGATAACTAAATGTTATGCACAAATTTACTTTAAAAGAACTAGCGTGAAACTGACTTAGTATTTAAAAATTTATCTAAATTATTCCAATTATAAAGTTGTGATGTAGCTTTATTCGAATTGTAATACGCATTTAATTTCATATTCCGATTAAAATGGATCTATCTTTTTAAATTTTAATTGGAGTTTATTCAATATTATCTAAATCACCCTCTACCGACTTAATTTTTACATATTTCGTCTGTTTTCCCCTAATTTGATAAAATACTTCTTCCTAGTTACGACTTAGTTGCAGCTGCAGCCGAAACTAAAATTTAAGTTGGTACTTAGCCAGAAAAGTCGAAACTAAGGCATGCCTACAGCAATGCTGCATTCCCATTTTTCATACCAAGTACAAATAGCGTTAAGTATATATTAGTGTCATCCACCTTTATGGAGTGCTAGAGTATATGAATTGTGTATGCATTAGGAAATATCAGATGTTAGGTATTAGACAATTATCGGTACTTATGTATTATTTGAAAATGGATTTAAAGAGAAGAATATGTCAAATAAATTTAGTCTAACAGCTGACCACCAAAGCGTTCGCATCTGCCCATCACCTGTGCTTGGCCTCCTTTTCGTCGTTGGATATTTTGCTTGACCATTTGCGCGGTTACAAAAAAGGCTTTGTAATCCTACATTTTTTGGCGCCCAACGTGGGGCACGGCACAACAGAGTAAGTTTTCATTGTTACACGCTTCGTATCATTTGGCTTTAGGTGGTCAGCGTTAGACCCCTCATCGCCAGTTTCGGACGTGCTGCTAGCCATTGCCAATCGCCATCGCTGTCTCCAAGCAACTCAGCCACCGCCGCTGCCAAGTCGTTGCTATTGCAAAGCTCGATCCCATCGCTGCTTTGGACATTGTGCTGCTAAATAGTCTTCGCTTTGCACCTTGCCAATCCTTGTCGTCTCGTAATAACATCGCTCCTGTCCAGCTATACCTCGCTTCAGCTCCTCTATACATCGCTCACGGACATTGCCATTTTCCCATCGTCGTCACCGTCGGTACCTATCATTTGAATCACCTCCTTGTTTTTGACCACCTTTTTGTTGATAGCTCGCCATTGCCACTGTCGCCCGTCAGTTACCTTTGCTCACCTGCACGTAAGTAATACCCTCAAATACGAGCCGCACAATTTGCCATTTGCGTTTTTATTATTGCCGACTGTATAATTTAATTGCCCTTGAAAATGTCCTTGGACGAATTAAAGCAGCAACGTGCTAATACAAAGAAAAACATCTCGCGTATCAAAAACATAGTGGATGCTAGTTTACGACCAGGTGGGAAAACGCTTTCAGCTGCCGAATATAAATGCCGTTTGGGCATTCTTGAATCCTATTTTAAACAGGTACTGTCCATCCAAACTGAATCGAAAGGTTGGATTCTGACGACGGAGGACGCGCTGACCTTGAGGATTTATACGTCACTACAAAACTAACGATCAAGCACAGCTAGTGGAGGATCACAACATTTCGCTTGCGGAAACGAGCTGCGGTGTTCAACATACCAAAAAGTTACCACAACTGAAGTTGCCAACGTTTAATGGCAAGTATTCGGAGTACCAGAATTTTATTACATCATTTAAGCAAATAATTGACAAAGAATATAGTCTCTCTAATATCGAAAAATTCAATCATTTGCGAAATTCACTCCAAGGTCAGGCTTTAGAAACAGTAGATGCATTTCAGGTGACCAACGAAAATTACCCCAAGGCATTGGAAAGGCTGAAGGCAAGGTACGACAACAAAACTTTAATTTTTTTGGAAAATATTTCTTCCCTGTTTGAATTGCCAGCAGTCTCGAAACCAAATGCCTTGCAATTGAGAAGTCTTATCGACAAGGCTTCGGCAATTTACGGGTCACTTCTGTCTTTGGGTAGTGATAGGCATATAGTTTTGCAGAAATCAGATGAACAAACAAACAGGAAGTGGAAGGAGTCATTGGATTTTAAGACGCTGCCGACGTGGGATGACTGTGTGAAGGTGTTGGAGAGGAATTGCCAATATTTGGAATCGATCGACAATGCATCCGGTTTTCAGGGAACGAGCAAAGCCACCCCAAATAAGGCAAGAAATCAGGCCAAAGGTTACTCATTTTCTTGCTCCAGTACGCCGTGCTCTGTTTGTTCGAGCCCAGGTCACAAAGTTGCTAGCTGCGATCGGTTCAAAACCTTCAACACTAACCAGCGCTTCGAGCACGCAAAGAAAATGGGGCTCTGCATAAATTGCCTGTCCAAAGGGCATCAAATGGCTCAGTGCCCATCATCCCATAGATGCAAGGTTTGCTCGAAACAGCATCACAGCTTACTTCATCGTGGGTCTCCGCCAGCCCAACAAGCAACAAATTCTCTGTCATCAGCACGCGATGCCGCAGTGCACACACACATGCAAAAATCGTCAGCAGACAACATAATCCTAGCAACCGCCAAGATTTTAGTTCGCGACTCGTCGGGTGATTACAGATTAGGCAAAGCCCTACTGGACTCCTGGTCTCAGGTAAACTTCATTACTGAAGAAATTTCTCAAAAATTATCACTACCTAAAATCAAAGAAAATATTGAAATCCAAGGCATCGGTAAGTCGTCAATAAAATACAAAACCTCCACTAACATCAAATCGCAGTTTAAGGAATTTGAACTTCCGCTAACGCTTTGCATTACTCCTCACATTGCCTATCATCCAGACCCAGAAATTGATGTTTCATCTTGGAATATCCCAAACAATATTGCCCTTGCTGACGACGAATTTTTCGTAGCAAAGAAAATTGACCTATTGTTGGGTACGGAGACTTTCTTCAGCCTTTTGGCAGTCGGCCAAATTAAACTTGGAACAAATTTACCAATTTTGCAAAAAACTCTATTAGGATGGGTTGTATCGGGACGTTACCAATCAAACAACAAGTTATCGCAATGTTCGTATTTATTTACAGCCAATGACTCGTTGGATGCCAAACTGGAGAAGCTGTGGAAAATTGAAGAAGTTGCCGTTAATGCAGAACCTTGGACTCGTGAACAAACCACTTGTGAGAATTTGTACAAAAGCACAGTTTCAAGGAATCCAGCTGGCAGAATAATTGTGAAGCTGCCCTTCAAAGATGATCCCTCTTGCCTAGGTGATTCGTATACCACAGCATTGAGACGTTTTAACTCACAAGAACGTCGCTTAGCAAAATCGCCACAGTTGAGAGAGCAATATGTGAGCTCTATGGATGAATACGAGCGCCTGGGACACATGAGCGTCGTGCAGATTCCAAACCTCAACGAACCGCATTATTATATCCACCACCACTGTGTGTTGAAGCCCTCAAGTACAACAACAAAACTTCGTGTCGTCTTTGATGCTTCTTGCCGCACTACCACACAAAAATCTCTCAACGACATTCAAATGGTTGGCCCCACAATTCAAAGTGAGTTAATTATTCTACTTCTTCGTTTCCGCCTACACAAATTTGCGTTGACCGCCGATATAGTTAAAATGTACAGACAAGTACTAATGCATGAAAGCGATAGAAAGTTTCAGTATATTTTGTGGAGGAGCTCACAAGATGAAGAAATTCGCACGTACCAACTCAATACGGTAACCTACGGAATGGCTTCTGCACCATATTTAGCTATTCAAAGCCTGGTTTACTTGGCTGAACAACAGCAGGATCAGTTCTCAGTTGGAGCGAGTATCGTCAAATCTTCGTTTTACGTCGATGACTTGCTGTGCGGTGCAGATACCTTGGCCGACCTTTTACAGATAAAGCAGGAGGTAACACAGTTGCTGACTTTAGGAGGATTTGAGCTCTCGAAATGGCATTCCAACCATCATCGACTGAGGGAGGATAATTCTACGAAAAATCTCAACTTGGACGAATCTATTACAAGTGCACTGGGGATGCGCTGGGATCAAGTACACGATAATCTTCTGTTTTCCTTCGAACCAAGGATAGGATCCGCGAGTCGCACAACCAAGCGGACCATCCTTTCAATTGCTTCATCTTTATTCGATCCTCTTGGTTTATTGGCTCCCGTTATTATCACATCTAAAATCTTGTTGCAGGAATTGTGGCTGCTTAAATTGGACTGGGACGAATCAGTACCTCAGAATATTCACTCCGCGTGGAAAAGTTTTCTCAACAATGTATCGGATTTGTCATCACTAAAATTGCAAAGGTATTGTCTTTCAACAGATATCCAGTCTTTTCAACTACATGGCTTCTGCGATGCCTCCATCCGAGCATATGGATGTGCACTATACGCACGCACAGTCACCAAGTCCGGAGGCACTATCGTTCGCTTGCTCATCGCCAAGTCCAGAGTAGCCCCCATCAAGAAACAGTCGCTGCCAAAGCTGGAACTTTGTAGCGCCCTACTCTTAGCTCGGCTTTTTGCAAAGGTCAAATCAATTTTTGCTAATAAATCTTTTAATGTTTTTCTCTGGACAGATTCACAAGTAGTCCTGCACTGGCTGAAGATGCACTCAATAACGCTTTCGACGTTCGTTGGAAACCGGGTTTCGGAAATCCAAGACATAACTGCTGGAGCTAATTGGAGGTACGTGCCAACACACAACAACCCTGCAGACATAGTTTCCAGAGGATGTACGGTGGATGAACTCGGCAAATCAATTTGGTACACTGGCCCTTCGTTTTTACAAGAAGATATGGAAACTTGGCATAAGAACGCAAGCAATTATGTTGATATGGAAGTCATAGAAATGGAAAAGCGAAAGTCAGCCTTCACAGCAATTGTAAACAGCAACTATATTCTTGAAGTTATTAATCAACGAAGTTCGTACACTGGCAGCCAATGTAGCCAAGTCCAATGACTCAGGACCACTCTCACCAACAGAACTACGCCACGCTCTGCTATGCATAATTTGGAACTTGCAACAAAATTATTTTGCTAATGATATTCCTCTTACAGAAGAATTTAACTACAAATGGACCATTGCGTTATGTGAACCCCTTTCTCGAGTCGGTCGAAGGATTTCAATTACTAAGAGTTGGTGGACGGTTGCATCTGGCGGACATCCCAGAAGAAAGGAGACATCCAATACTGTTGCCAAACAAGTGTGAGTTCGTCGTGAACTACGTGCGTTATCTTCATCGAAAGCATTACCACGCAGGACCTAAAGCACTGGTAGCATTTATAAGGTTAAAATTTTGGATCGTCAACGCGCGCGACGTGGCAAGGCGAGTAGTCAGATCATGCATACATTGCGTACGCTACAAGCCGAAATTGATGCAGCAAATGATGGGAAACCTACCAGTTGAGCGATTGACGCCATCACGCCCTTTCGCCCGCTGCGGTGTTGATTTTTGCGGACCAGTTGATGTATACCTACGAATTAGAGGCAAGACGCCCTACAAGGCGTACATCGCAATTTTCGTTTGTATAGCTTCAAAGGCAGTACACATTGAAATCGTTTCCAATCTATCTACGCGTTCCTGGCATCATTGAAGCGAATGATCGGAAGGAGAGGCCTACCATCAGACATATTTTGCGACAACGCGACAAATTTCGTTGGCGCGTGTAATAAACTTGCTGAATTGAAGGCATTTTTATTTAATCGTGAAAATCAAGATACCATTGTGGCGTATTGTGCTAACGAATTCGTAAATTTCAATTTTATTCCTCCTAGATCACCTCATTTCGGCGGTATTTGGGAAGCGGCCGTGAAATCAGCAAAGGGGCATCTAAATCGCAGCATTTCCAACTCACGACTTACCTATGAAGAACTCCCGACGGCCTCGGTAGAAATCGAAGCGGTAATGAACTCTCGGCCAATAGCTCCATTGTCATCCGATCCGAACGACTACGAAGCTTTAACTCCAGGCCACTTTCTCATTGGCGGGGCTCTGAAAGCTCTTCCAGAGCGAAATGTTTCTCCAAATATAAGCAGTCTACACCAATGGGCACAAATAACAGGCATAAAACAAACATTTTGGAAGCGGTGGTCACATGAGTATATCAACGAATTGCAAGTACGCTCAAAATGGTTTTCAGATCGGCCAAACATCAGCAACAACACCTTGGTTATCATCCATGAAGATAACCTACCACCCCAGAAATGGCTTATGGGAAGAATAGTCAAATGCATACCAGGAAAGGATTCAAGAATTCGTGTGGTTGACGTTCGTACATCTAAGGGAATTATTCGGCGCCCCATCCACAAGCTAGCAATTTTACCAGTTTGAAATGTCTTTCAACGGGGCCGGGATGTTGGGTCACCGATTGGCAACCGCTGCATTTTAAACCATATGTTATTTTATATTTTATTATATGCTTACAATATTCAAGGTCAGGTATGCTCAGTTCATTCACCTCAATGCAATTAAAATTTGTGTTTGCTTTAAATATTGCCTTGACCTACTTAGTGATATTCTCCCACTATATTGTGTGCTTACATTTGCCTATATATATATGTACATACATATCTACATATATTCCCTATATTCATATTGTTCACTTGCATTTACATACATATGCATACACATATGCTTCCGCTATGTTTCGCTTTCCAATAACATGTATAGTTGATTGTACGCTTTCGCTATTTTAGTTTAACATATGTATGTAATTACAAAGCTTAATATATAAGCATGCCTACAGCAATGCTGCATTCCCATTTTTCATACCAAGTACAAATAGCGTTAAGTATATATTAGTGTCATCCACCTTTATGGAGTGCTAGAGTATATGAATTATGTATGCATTAGGAAATATCAGATGTTAGGTATTAGACAATTATCGGTACTTATGTATTATTTGAAAATGGATTTAAAGAGAAGAATATGTCAAATAAATTTGGTCTAACAGCTGACCACCAAAGCGCTCGCATCTGCCCATCACCTGTGCTTGGCCTCCTTTTCGTCGTTGGATATGTTGCTTGACCGTTTGCGCGGTTACAAAAAAGGCTTTGTAATCCTACAATAATTGAATTATTTATTGTAAGTTTTATAAATATTGCTTGTATACGATGAAAAATAAGTAGTTATTAAGCACAAAGTTTACATATTGATTTTATTTTTAGTTAATTTACTATTAATCTCCAGTTTTATTTTATTTTAAGTAGTGTGTGTCAACTATGATTGCCGTATACATTTTTTCAATTTTCCAAAATAAATAAAAATGCTGAAATGTTTTGGCAGAATTTTTCAGTTGATAGTTGAATAGAAAATAGGTTAGTTTTAAAAGCACATAGCTATATCTACTTAATTTTTGAATGCCTTATAATGTGGTATAAGTTTTGAGAAAAATATTTATGCATTCTTATGTTAAAAATGTTTTTCCTATCCAAAAGTATGTAATAAATGTGCCACCTATTAAAACTGCGAAAATGATCAGCTGTTTCAAAGAATGCAAATTTTCTGTTTTTTTGTTTCTTTGATAGCGAATGCTCTGAATTCTTTCTGATGGATAATTTTGTCTGGGGAATTCAAAAACACTCGCAGACCTGTTCAATATCAAAAAATATTTACGAATAGCTACCAGTACTTGCAAGTTTTTACTGGAAATGCATTCATTAACCCAAACAAATTGCAAGAGGGCAAACTCGAGTGCTTAACACCCCGACAGAGCTGCAAATCGTTGTAAGTAAAAATCAGGAATTCGCAGGTGTTAAGAAATCAGTCATGTGTCAATTTAAAATGTAAACAAATTATTTAGAGGAAGATTTGATAAAAACGTGCTCAAAACAAAACTAGTGAAATGAAAATATGGATGCATAATTTAAATCTAACATAGATTTTTGAATTTTTTTGACTATAGGAAATGTTCCCAACCAAAAGGAAAAATACGCGGCAAACCTTAAACATCTGAATGTAAAAATGGCGTAAGTTTCACGTTTTGCTAGTTTTGCGTTCAATAACCTTTTCTGATAATTTTCTCTACCTCTCCATTTCACTCTCTATGTTTCTTTTACGCTCCCGCTGTAAGTACCTACTGTAAGTGTTAATGAATAGGCCTATTATCACAGCAAATTTTTTGTTGATTTTAGCAAAAATTTATTTTTTAATAAACACCATGTATTTACTTCTATGAGGTAGAAAAATATTACTTTTTTACCCACAAAAACGCTGCTTTCCAAATATACACAGTGTGGTGCAGTGCCAATGTAGTACCAATGTACTTTTGGCTTACAAAATGTACCAAAAAAGTACAATTGTACCATCAATTTCATCAATGGATCAGGCTAGCATTAAATAAACACAATCAGCCTTATCCTGAGTTTCGACCGAAAGAAAATTCACCCAAAATTTTTATTCCGCCCATAGTAAATACATGGAAACCAAAAGTGAAAAGTAAACCAGTGCGGCGAAAATTAAACTCATGATAAGGCTGAATAATGCAATACAAAAATTACGTTTTAGCTAGAATCAGCTGTTCGCATGGCAGACGAAAACAAAATTGGCAACATGTGGGCAAATACATTTTAGGGCCATTTTCACAGTCATTAGTTAACTACTATGCTAATGTTAAACCACCATTTTTCATTTCACAGTATCAGTTTGACCAATGGTTGACTGCAGTACATCCATTATAGGGCATTCGCACGTGGCGATTTTACAGGCAACAAAAGTTGAATACGAAGTTGAATGAAAAGTTGAAAGTGAAAAAGTTGCCATCCCTATTCAGACGAGGCGATTTT